TTGAAGCATACAGCGCAGTGGGGAATAGGCCTTTTGATGGAAAAAATTCTAAAAAATCTGAAAATTTGTTTAGCAAGATTTTCGAACGTGCTGGTTTCACTACTCAACTTCTTGAGAATTTTTCGAGCTTTTCAGTGGTGTAATCACATTTCTGACGAAGACTGGAAAAATGTTACCCTGAACCTGAGATAACTCATAAAAGAAGCATCACAGTAAAGTGCAAACTTCACATCTGAAATCAGTAACCTAGGATAGCCCAGTACAAGAGTTTCTGGCTTATTGGTTTTCATCCTGAGGTAAAATATCGCTTTCATTGGCCTAAAATCCTCGAAGACCACACCGCGATACCACAGTGATGAAGAGTGTATGGTGATTCGCACCATACTGTAAATCTATGTTGAGCCTCGTTCTACAAAACGGTACCTTAAGCTCAATGAAAGACATGGAAGCAAGAAAGTTATTAACGATCAAACTGTGCACATCTTTTTGGGACACTCTGCATATACCATTGCGCATATGAGCTTTCCCTCAAACTCTGTGCAAACTAGCGGGCAAAACGATAACATCGAAAAGTCAACAAAACAAGGATGAGTCATGTAGATGGCACGATAAAGCTGGAAGGCAGACCTCACGGGCAGCAACAGCAAAGTAAGTGTTTTTATCCCAATCATCGGCACCGTTTATACCACAGCAATGCCATGATTCTTGCATAGTGTCGATGAGGACTTGTAAGTCAGGATCATCACGATAACCAACAACCTGAACAACTTTGAAATTTTCAGATCACTCACAAAGACATACCCTGAAAAAAAGGTAAAAAAACAAAACTGCTATCAAGCATTTGACTTAAAAGTGGAAGAAGCACTGTCAGCAAGAGAAAAACAAACAAACCACGTCATTGAGTAAATTCCTTATATAGGTGTCGAGCTGATCTCGACAAGCATACGCAAACACTGCGCCTGCGAATTCTGCAATCAATAGCAGACCGAGCAATGACGAATAAAAAGTAAGGAAGGAGGTATTTTCCCGAAGTGAGCCAACACAGCCGCTGAATCCTAAAATAGATAATCTCTTCCGACGACATGTATAAGGGGTATTTCAGTGGAAGTAAAAAGCACAACATATTGAGATGTCGGAACAAATAACAGGTAAAAAAGTATACTTAGTTATGCGCTGTAAGCAAAAAGATTTTTAACAAGTGTATAGAGAATACAAGGGAATGGTCAAAAACCGAAGTGGCCAATCCAGACAGGCTGCATACCATTAGATGC